TATCCACCCTGGCTTTGGGGTGCCTCATTGTCTCCCTTCTGTCTATCTGTGTATTCTTTCGCTATCCCTATCGCCGCTGGATCTCCCCTCCTCGTGAACCAAACACTCGTGAACAACACAACTATGTCGAGGTCAGACCCCGACATCGAACCTCACTGCACCTCCACCCTAGCCGCCATCAAGCCCTGCCTTCCTTATTCTATTTCTTGACTGCACCTTCCATAAGTGTTGATTGTGGATCCAAAATTGTGGATCTTTGATAACTTCAATCTTTTGTCCATTTATTATGATGTTATTTATTGGTTCAGTTGTGAGGATTTTGTTTTCTTTACATTAAGGTACAATCCATACTGAAGGCAACAGTCTTTGAGCTTCATCATTAATTATTTTAAGTCTTCTTCCTTACATCTCGCAAGGTTGTATCATCTGCATATCATAAATTGTTAATGAACCCTCCTCTAATCCTGATGCCATGTTCTTCACATAATCCGGTTTCTCAGATTATTTGCTTAGCATATAGATTGAATAAGTATGGTGAAAGGATACAACCCCGATGCACAACTTTTCTGATTTAAGTATCATTCAGTATCCCCTTGTTCTGTCTGAACCACTGCCTCTTAGTCTGGGTACAGGTTCCTCATGAGCACAATTAAGTATTCTGGAATACTGATTCTTCTCAGTGTTCTCCCTAGTTTGTTATGACCCACACAGTTGAATGTCTTTGCAAAGTCAGTAAAACCTGTACAAGTAAACATCTTTCTGGTACTTTCTGCTTTCAGCCAAGATCTATCTGATGTCAGCAATGATATCCCTAGTTCCATGTCCTCTTCTGAATCCAGATTGAAATTCTGGCAGCTTCCTGTCAATGTACTGTTGCAACCATTTTAAAATTATCTTTAGCAAAATTTTACTTGTATGTGATATTAATGATATTGTTTATTTCCACATTCCATTGGATCGCCTCTCTTTGGAATGGGTACAGATATGGATCTCTTCCAGTCAGTTGGCCAGATCTTCCAAATTTCTTGGCACAGACGAGTGAGTGCCTCCAGTGCTGCATAAGTTTGTTGAAACATTTCAATTTGTATTCTGTCAATTCCTGGAGCCTTGTTGTTCGCCAATGCCTTCAGTACAACTTGAACTTATTCCTTCAGAACCACTGGTTCTTGATCATATGCTGCCTCTTGAAATGGTTGAACATCAACCAATAAATTTCAGTACACTGACGTTGTGTATTACTTTCATCTTCCTTTGATGCTTTCTACATCATTCAATATTTTTCCCATAGAATCCTTCAGTTTTGCAACCCAAGGCTTGAATTTTTACTTTAGTTCTTTCAGTTTGAGAAATACAGAGCATGTTCTTCCCTTTTGGTTTTCTTTGCATATTTCATTATAATATTTTACTTTGTCTTCTCGAGCTGCCCTTTAAATATTTTTGTTCAGATCTTCTAATTCCTCATTTTTTCCCCCAGTTGCTTTAGCTTCTCTAAGCTGAAAAGCAAGTTTCAGAGTCTCTTCTTACAGCTATGATCTAGATTAAACTAGATTAAATAAAAATAATTGTTTCATAAGAATTTATAGAGCCTCTGCTCCACTCTATGTCAGGCATTGTACTAACCTAAGAAATTTGTATTAATTACTTTTAAATGTGGAGACATTCGTTTTTGGAGAAATGGAATAATTTATCTAAGGCACACAGCTGCTAAGTGACTGAACTGGGATTTGAACTGATGTCTCCACGTCCTGTGCGCTGCCTACTACACTACACTACTGCTATCACTTGTCATTGTACCGTCCCTAAGGCCTAAAACATGACCAGAATCAGTCATTCTGATTTACATGTATTTTCATCTCATATGCAGAGGCAGGAGCCTAGCTCTACCCAGCTGTGGAATTGGAAGTCAGGGTTAAACTGGACTAATTCAAACCAAGAAAATCAGGGTTAGTCAGTGTCAGGAGAGGAAGGTCAGCTCTGTCCTGTTCAATGTCTGTCTCTGCTCACCATCCCATCTTCCAGTCCCCACAGCTCACCCATCATGCTGTCCTTCCACCTTCCACCACTGTGACGTGGGGCAGACTAGGGTGTAAGTGTGTGACCCCCCAGGGACATAAAGGGCTGTATGTATGGACTCTGCTTCTGTCCCTTATTGCCAGGAGGTAGAGATGATGACCCTGAGAGAACACGGAAGATACAGAGTCTTTCTCACCCTCTCGTTGTCTTCCCACTCCAGGTCAATCCCGGGGCAGGGACCGAGCCTATGGAGGGAGAACGAGGATCCTACCGGCTTCGTGTCATCAAGGCCCTGGTTCAACGCTACATAGACACTGCCCGGCGTGAGTTTGAGGAGACTCGTCGGAAAGGTTAGTTGCTCACTTCCAAGTCTTCTCCATTCCAGTTCCTTACTCTCCTGGGATAAATGAACCATACCCAGACTCATAGCCTTCACCTAGGCGGCATTTACACACATCCCCATCCCACCCTGACCCTAGAAGCCACACCTGCAGTGTAATCCCTTGTAGTCAGTTACCTCCTGGCTCATTCAGATGTTCACTCCACTAGTTTTGTTTAATCTGTCATTCCTGCCCTTATTGCGTCATGCACTCATTTATTCTTTCAATCACTTCCTTAACTATTGACTCATTCACTCAATTCAGGATTCATTTATTCATTAACTTATTTATTCATTCATTCAATTAACATTTATTGCTATGTCCTCCTTTGTTCCAGACCCTGCACTCAGGGGTGGGAGGCTATGTAAAGGAAGAACACAGAGGAAACTTTCAGTTTAGCGAGGAAAGAGACCATCATACCATCACACAGGCAGAGCCTACTGAGGCACAAATTGCAGTGGGAGCTCAAAGGAAGGGAAGAACAGTATCATTCTATGAGAATCATGGAAAGGTAAAGAATAGAGTACCAGAAGTTGAGTAAGAAGGAGGTGGACCCTGAACCATTCCCTGGAGGATGGGTCTGAGCTGGACAGCTGAGATTAGGGTAGTAGATGTACAAATCTCTATCCACTACACATTTTTCCACCCCTGATTCCTGATCCCTTTTCTAAGATCTCCTAAACTTGACCTTCCATACCCCTTACTTAGATTCTTTTGTCCCAGATATCAGCCTACCCACCTGGTCCTCAGTCCACAAGGCAGGATCCCCAGACAGAGAGGCATCCCCTGGGATACTTTTGAGGCAAAAGTGACACAGGGTAGACTCATCTTCTGAGAGACCTCCCCACAATACTCCATTTCCTCCAGACCTCGGCAACAGACTGACAGAGCTGACAAAGACTGTGTCTCGTCTACAAAGTGAGGTGGCTGGTATGCAGCGGACTCTGGCAGAAGGAGGGACACCCCGGCCCACTGATGGTGCCAGCATCCTCAGTCGCTATATCACTCGAGTGCGTAATAGCTTCCAGAACCTGGGGCCCCCCATCCCTGAGACCCCAGAGTTGATAATGCCAGTGATTGCAGAAACCCAAGAATCTGCAGAAACTGAGCCTCAGGACACTGGGGGAACTAGGGCTTCAGCTTCTGGTGAGCCTGGACCCTCTTCCCCAGCTCATGTGCTAGTACATAGGGAGCAGGAAACTGAGGGGCCTGGAGATCTGCCCCAGGAGGAGGGTTTGGGAACCTAGGGGGAGACCTAAGCAGTGGGAAGGTCCCTTTTCTGCTGCTGAGTAGAGTCTATGTTGCTTTCTTTGCCTCAATAAAATTTCTGTTCAAGATGTCAGATGCCTCCAAAGTGGATAAGAATCCTTACTTCCTGATGTTTTGAGGTCCTCCATCCCCACAGAGTGAGGTAGGCCCAGGATTGGGCAGTGTTTCCTTCTGCTGTGCATAAAGTCGCTATGAGTTGGTGCCAACCTAACAGAAACAACAACAATCACCACAGAAATGGGTCCTTCAGGAAGCAGGAAGCAGGACAGAGAGAAAATGGCTTGCTCTGGGACCCCAGGTATCTTTGGCTTAGGATCCTACTTTCCAAACACCAACCCACTGCCATCAAGTCGATTCCAATAGGGTTTCCAAGACTAAACCTTTACAGGAGCAGATAGCCTCATGTTTCTTCCATGGAGGCATTGGTGGGTTTGAACCACCAACACTGCAACACTAGTGCCTAATCCACAGTGCTACCAGGGCTCCTGCTTTGTTGTTGGATCCTGTATAGGGTTTCTGAGGAGCAACTGCTGAGATTGAACTGCTGACCTTGTGGTTCAAACCAATTTTGCAGTCCAGTGCATTAACCCAAAGTGCCACACCAGGACTCCTGCTTTGGGCTTCCTCAAATGCTTTGATGGAAAGAGTTCTGGATTAGGAGGCAGGAAGCCTTGTTGCAAAACAAATTCTCTGACCTTGGGCAAGTGGCTTTCTTCTTTGGCCTCTCATTCCTCATCGGACAAATTGTTGTTGCTGTTAAGTGCCCTCGAATTGGTTCCAACTCACAGTCGGCCCTGTATAGGGCTTTTGAGGAGCAGCTGGTGGGTTTGAAATGTCGACTTTGTGGTTCGCAGTCCATTGCTGATCCTACAGTGCCACACCAGGAATCAGTAGGGCTAAGGAATCCATTTGTCCTCCTTCCTGCTTTCAGAGTTGTGAGAAACATCTGGCTGCTAAACATTCTAGGTCTGTGAGTTACAATGTGTAACAGGGGCCAAGAGACTATACTTTTGTAGTCCCTTAGCTCCAAGTCTGGCATGACCAGAGCAGAGCAGATGCTCCAGCCTCTCAGAAAAAAATCGATCATGAAATTTGATGTCTCCACACTGAAACACCATTTAATTGCGTGGCCATCACAGCACTACCCTTGTTTGTCCCAGGAAGTCCCCACTACATAGTGGGATTCCCTTTACCCTGCCTCAGGCCCCCCACCCCACCACCACCACCCCGGGGAGATGGCTACTAGGGCTAGTCCAGAATCATGTTCTTGCTTCAAGGCTCTCCAAAGCCCTTCTTCACATGACAGCCACTAGTTCCCAGGGCTCCTAAATGGCAAGCATTGGACTTTCAGGGCCCATCTCCTGAGAACCGGAAACCCCCAGGGGCCAAAAGCATGGTCTTCCTGGAGAGAAGAGAGATTGCCTACTTGGAAGGTGAGTCTGGCTGCCCACCTGCCAGAAAGAGAAGAAAAGAAGTCAAAAGGCTTGGCAGTGGAAGCAGAAACAGCTGAGGGCGGGAGGGAGTGGGTGTGTAACTCACTTGGTGCCAACACACAGTCCTGTCTCTTCTCCCCTGCAACAGACAGCACAGTGAGACCTTCCTGCAGACAGGCTCTCCTAGCCCAAACTTCCCTTCCCACCAGGCCACCAGGCTCCCTTTCAATCCATCTTTCTCTTCCCTTTACTGCAAACTTCTGACTTCCCTTCCTCCTCCTTTTTCCTAGATCTTTCTAGTTTGCTCATCCCCGCTCCCACCCAAGCCCATCACTCCTCCTTTCTGTCCTCATCCCTCAGCACTGGGGAATAGCACTTATGTGTCTTATAGTCCCCACCAAGCCTGAAGTCTTGAGAGCAGCAGCAGTATTTGTGTCTCTTTCCTTTGCTTGCTTGCCTCCTTTGACCAAGTTCTTTTAAACAAGGCTTAGGGTCAGAAAAAGGAAATACCCTCTCAATGAAAATTAATTAAAATACCTTAATTAAGGTTGGACTATCTAGAGTTAGCAGTTGGAACTTTTTCAGAACAATTATGAATCATCTGAGAATATTCACAGATCCAGAAAACATTTAGAGGATTTTCCTGTAGGTAGTAGAACCTGAGTCACAGAGGAAAATAGCCTTCAACTTTCCCCTTTAACCAAACGGGTCTCCTTGAAGATACTGGGAATTGTGCAGGGACATCCAGGGATAATTCCAAATTCACACTCTGCCTTATTTCACACACCCTGTGTACCCCATGCACAGCTCACCACCCAGATAGGCGCAGTTAAAGTGGCTGCAGGTCTGATTATAGCTCCAAAGAGTCACTAGGCTCCAGGCTCCATCCTGGGAGAACCCGGTGACCAAGAAGATTTCGTGGGGAGGAATCAGCACCTCACGCTCCTCCGGAAAGGCAGACAAGGCCTGAATAGGGGCCCCAAAGCAAGTCCTTAGAGAGAAGAGTGTGGCATTACCAAATCTGCGGGCCACTGCCTCATCCAGGGAACTGGAGGCAAACTGGCCCATGCGGACTGAGTCCCCCAGCCTCTTGGGTTCAAAACGAAGACTACCTACACCTCGAAACACCACCTCCCCAGATTCCCTGCTGCAGCCCCTATTATCCCGCAGCAGCTGCAGAGCCCTGGTCAGGTAGAAATGGAGGGCCTTGAAGCGGAAGTGCTTCATGTAGAGCTCCCGGGAGCCACCGCCCATCCGCACAGCCTGATTCAGCTCCGAGTACAAGGTATTAGATGAGTTGGTGTAGACCATAATGGCCACTGCATGCTGAGTCTGGAAACCAGTGGGCAAGGTGAGCCCTGGACGCCTGTGCTTCCAGGCCTCCTGGGCTGCCTCCCAGGATTCCCGCAGCAGGGCATGGTGGCCCATTTCTTCTTTCAGCAAGGGGACAGCCTTCTCCTCCATTTCCTCTGAACAGCCCACATAGGCATCATCGAAGGTGTTTGGGGCCAGTCCCAGGGGCAAAATGGGAACAGCCTGGGCCTATAGAAGTAAGAAAAAGAGGAGCCACACAGGAACCGGTGTGAATTCAGAGCATTGGACAGGGGTCTTGGTGCTATAGCAGTTTGTTGTTGTTGTTTGCCGTGGAGTCGGTTCCGACTCATAGCGACCCTGTACAGGGTTTCTGAGGCTGTAAATCTTTACGGGAGCAGAACGCCTCATCTTTCTCCCGCGGAACAGCTGGTAGTTTCGAACTGCTGACCTTGAGGCTCGCAGTTTAGAAACACAAAATTTCATTTCTGTGCCCAAATATCGGGTGTACGCAAACAGTTTAGCAAGGATTTAAGAAGAGGCTTAAATAACACAGGTTTTGGAGTCAGACAGATATAGTTTCAAACCCTGACTTCACCACCGACTAACTAGAATCTTGGGCAACACTGATATTTTCTGGGCATCAGGTTCATCCCCTATAAATTAGGGATAATCCCAAATTCACAGGATTAGTGTGAGGATTAACATGTAGACATTTATTCTGCACAACCTAAAATGGGTCATCTTGTCACTAGAGAGGTTCCTGTAATCTGTGAGAAGTAGGACCAGATGACCTCTAACTACTTTTCTGGCCTTAGGATTCAGTCTGTAGATGATATACAAATGTATAGTCAATGCCAGCTTCCACCCCCTGATACCCAACCCCTTCTTGTCCTCTTTAAACATCGTTTCCCTCTTCTTAGGAAGCCCCTGCAGGTGCTCAGCTACCCCACCCAGTCAGTGTCAGCTCTGAAATTCCAGAGACCTCTCCTGCTTCAGGAGATGGGGTGGGGAAGGTCAATCCCTAACTACCAGGAATGTAGCACAGAGGTAGCCCAATGGGGTCTACCTAGGTTGAACCTTTGGTGGATGCTGGGAAGTGCAGAGGAGAAAGTTTGAAGCAATCAGTAGGGCAGGTATGAAAGAAAGGATCATTGAGGGAAAAAGTGGGGATTCTGGGAGTAGTAAAGTGAACTTGAAGCTCCCTGCAGGGATGAAGATTCCAGAGAGGAAGAGGATTAAGAGATTCTAGGGAAGAGTCCCTGGGAGAAAGTGTTTAGTCATCTTCCCACTTCTCTTCAGGATCTGTCCCCCAACTGCTTTAGAGACCGAGATGGTTGCCACAATTACCTGCCAGAGGGTGTGGAGGCCCACGAAGCTGAAAGCAATCAGTAGAGCAATCAACATCTTCCCTGGGGAAGAAACTCCGGAGGGCGAGGTCTGGGTGAGGGTGGGGCCTGTGGCCGCGGAATCCAATCCTTGTTAGGAGAGGAGACTTGGACCCCTTCTTCTGAGGTGTCAGGGGTCCCTGGTCCTGGACTGGGCCCCCGCCAGCGGAGAGGAGGTGGGACCTTGGTCTAGACTGTCTCCCAGCACAACCCTAGGTCTCCACTCCCCAGACTCGAGAAGCGCCGCGTCTCCTGCCAGGAGGCGTTTTTAGTGGTGGTAAAGAAGGGTTGTAGTTTGGCTCGGTCTGAAGAGGCGAAGAGGCTGAGGACCCGTCACTCGGACGTCGCGGAAGCAGAGACTGAAGGAACTCGGGTGGTTGGGCAGTCCGGGGGCTAAACTATGGTCCTGGGCTGAGCTGCCTGGGAGTTCACTGATAAACAAAACACTGCAGCTAACTATAGCCCCCGCGGTGGTAACCTGACACCGCCCTTCCCCACAACTGCTGGGGGCTTGGGGGGAAACAGGAGTTGCTAGGGAAGGGGCTGAATGGTATAAATCCCTTCCCAAGGACGGTGGATACTTTCTCCGGAACCTCTTTGGCTCCGGGGTGAGGAGTGGACTTGTGAGACTTGGCTTCTTCCTCGGGTGGGCCCTGTACCGCCCGGCCCGACCCGACCCCAGACCGCTAGGCCTGGCACCTAAGTGAGGTTCCCGCCCACTTGGAGGTTGTGCTTGGACTCTGACTGATTTGCATTTATTTGCATATGACCCTTGCAGTGAGTCATGAGGTTCAACATTTGCATACCCCATTCCCCGTCCTTCCCAGGACACTTCTTGCCCACCTCCCCCACCTCCCCAGGTTCCTAGAGTTGGACTAGATATAGAACTTGTTTGAGATCCTCAGAGTCCAGCCTGTCTCTTCACCCAGACCCTGTCTCTCTGATGACTCTCAGACTCAGGTGTCCCAATGTTTATAAACACTAGCCTCACCTCCTCTGGGCTTGTCTATAAATACTCTGGATCCTAGTTTTGGATGCCCAAATCAGAGGTAATGGGAGAAGGGGCCAACTGAGAATCAGTAAATAGCCCTGGGAAGGCTTTCTGACAGCTTGAGCCAGGGGGTTGAGGGGGTGGGGATGTATTACTCTCCTAGAGGGGCCTGAAGAGTTGGAGGGGTACTGAATTTAGGAATTGAAGAGGCCCACACCAGCCTTGGCTCCTTGGAGAAGGCTCAGGTAAGGGGCACATTGCCCTTCATCTGGGGACTGGGCAGAGAAAATCTTTTTTGAGGGGAAATTTAGGGGATTATTGGAGCTGGGGTGGATGTGGAGGTTCAACCTACCCAAGGCTCCATTCTAGTCTGATTCATTCATTTAGCCCACCCCAACCCCGCAGATTGTCAGTTTCTTTCACTCAAAATCCTTCATGTGGACCAAACAGGAAAACTGTTGTCCAGGCTTGGGAGAGGGAAGGGAGAGCAGTAAAAAGAATGTTAGCCCCCTAAACTGAGTGTTTGTTAGGCAAACATAGCTTCAAAACAAGTTCTTTTGCCCCTTGAAATGAGATTGGATATCACAAAGACCCCCTAGATTCAAAATTCAGGAGCCCTTTTACTATTCACCTTTATTATGAAAAATAGTATCTTGCCTACATATCCAGCCTGCCTCCTTCCCTGGAGGGACTGAGTGTTTGTAGTTGTTGAAATAAAAAAGATCCTGCCTGGGACCAAGGAGGACAGTCCACATCACTTTGTCTTCCTCACCTTCTGGCTTTGGGAATTGCTTCTCCCATTCCAGAACCTGAAACCCCCAAGAAAAGATTCAAGAGATGAAGTCAAATCTACTCATTGGACAGGGTAGGGCAAAAAGTCCTCAAATGACCTATTAGTGGTAGAGTTGGGACTTTGGACCCAGCCTCCTTAGTCCAGGAATCTCTTCTCGCACCTAAGGTGAATCTCAAAGTTCACATGAAAGAAGCATAATGTCAAGAGATGCTCACTGAGAACTCATTCATCTCTTCCCCTGGTGGCGCCGTAGGATCAGCACTGGACTGCGAACCACAAGGTTGGCAGTTCAAACCCACCAGCTGCTCCTTGGAAAACCTAGACAGGGTCGCTATGAGTCTGAATCTACTCGACAGCACTTAACAATTACAGCACAGGAGCAAATGCAGTTGTAGCACCTGGCTCCTCAATACCCCAGGCCACCTTCATTCGGACAGAGTGGGTGGAGGCTGGTGTTCCTGAACCTTGAAGAGACATCCAGAAATAGATGAAGAGAGTGTCACGTTTCTGAGCAGCTGTGTGGGGAAGAGCAGGGGGGAGGAATTGACAGTATAAAGAAGCAGCGCCTGTCTTCCCCCCTCTCCTGGTAGTCAGTGCAAGAGCCCAGCACTGGCTTTCCCTCCCTGGAGAAGGCCCAGGTAAGGGGTACAGCACCTTCCTTTGGGGATGGGCAGGGAAAATACTTTTTAAGGGGAAGTTTGGGGGATTAATGGAGTTTTAGGCTATATGAAGTAAAGTTTTAGAGACCTCTTGTTGAGCGATTTTGGATACTTAGGGTTATTAGGCAATTTGGGGGTCCTTGGGGAGCGATTTGGAATCACTACAGGGAGCTTTCCTAGAAGGGAATGTTCAACAAGTACTTGGATGAAGGAACACTGACAAAAGAAGTGCCCTGGGCAAGATTGGAGGAAGGAAAGAGACCAGTTCCCTTCCTCTGTGAAGATAGATTGTCCCCCTCCTTCACCTGGCCTCCACTTCCTTGCCTCCCACAGCCTCTCCAAGCCTGATCCACACCCCATGCTTCTTCGACACGGTAACTAAGGTCAGCAATCCACCTGCTCTGCAGTCATCTGTTGTTAACTGCACCCTGAAAGCCTCTCAGATTTTCAGCAAATATTTCCCGAAGGTTTACCTGTGCCTGGCCTCTGGCTGAGCACTTGGAACAAAGAATTGTTGTTGTTATGCGCCGTGGAGTCGGTTCCGACTCATAGTGACCCTGTACAGAGTTTCCAAGGCTGTAAATCTTTACGGGAGCGTAAAGCCTCATCTTTCTCCCACGGAACAGCTGGTAGTTTCGAACTGCTGACTGTGTGATTCACAGCCTGATTCATAACCACTACGCTACCAGAGCTCCTTGAAACAAAGAATAGGTCATACCTTATCCCTGTCCTCAAGGAGTTCACAGACTGGGAGGGGAGACACACATATAAGGGCAGCACAATGTGATTAAGGAGTGGTAGTGGAAAGCACTGGGTAATATGGGAACCCAAAGGAGTCAGAGGGCTTCCTGGAGGAGGTGAGCCCTGACCTACTTGAAGAATGGGTAGCCAAGAAAAGCACAGTCCAGCCAGAGGGGCAGTGTGTGCAGAGCCACAGAGAGGGAAATAGCAGAGCCTCATCTAGAACTGTGTTCTGCACTGCAGAAGCTAAGCATGGGAAGTGGGAACTGACAAGGTCACAGAGGGCCTCAGCTACCCAGATTAGGAAATTGGACACTGTTCTGAAGGTATAGAGGAACTTTACAAGCTTTTAATTTTATTTTTTGCAGGTGTTTTTGTTTTCCCTAGATGTGTTCTTATCTTTTCTCTCATAATTTTCATTCTGCATTTTTACTGCTTATTTTGAGATATTTCTTCCAATCAGTTTTGGCACAGAGGACTTTTAAGCAGATAAGTAACATGGACAGAGTTGTGTTTTAGAAGCATTGCTCTCCCTGCTTTGTGGAGTGTGGCTTAGCAGAGGTAACAGTGGTGGCAGAAGGATCCAAGAGAATGAAGGCGCCAATCTGAGCCAGGAAAGGGGCAGTGTGAGTGGGGAAAGAGAAAGAGAATTTAGGATTTAGCCATGTTGTGCTCAGCGTCAATTGACAACTGTGTTAATGTTTGATGATTGATTGAAAAAAATGGACACCTGCGTTACCAGCTTGGGTGACTGGGTCAATAATGAGGATGGTGCATTACATGAAACTCTTCAATGGCAACTTAATAAAAAAACATCCTGAGCTAGATAAAGCCTAAAGAGGGATTTATCATAAGACTACAAGGGCATCTCATGGAAATCAAGGACCAGAAATGAAGAGCCTCCACATGTGTTCGGACTTCATCCTTTAAGCAGCCCCTTCTCCTCTTTCCCTGGTAACGTCCCTTCCCTGACCGCAATACCCCCATGACTCTCAAATCTCTCTTCTTATTGTCCATTCTGTTACCTTTTGGACATGTATCCCTGGAGAGTCCACATATTTCAAACACAACTCTCCATTTCTCCTCCAAACCTACTTATCCATTCAGTAGATTTTTTTTTTTAAGAAGCTGACAATGCTATATTACTTTATTCCAATTTTATAAATTGACATGATTCCAGACTATGTTCACTTCTATATTTATGATTCAAGGTTGTAATTTCTTTTTTAAAAATGTTTTATTGTGAATTACATGAAAGTTTACATGGAAGAACATTAGCTTTACATTCATCCTATTGTATATCATTCCATTCACATGATTACAATCCCCTCCATGAATCATCAAACAACCAAAGGGTATACCCTGCAAGCCTGCTTCCTGATTGTCAGCACACAGCTCCTCTCCCTCTCTGGGTCTAGAGTCCCCAGCCATTTCCTCTCTCCACATCATCATCTCTGCCTCCATCTCTGGCATCACTGTTTTTCTGGGTAGGGTCTTGCACTCCACACTTCTCCCTTGATGGTTCCAGGGACCTCCATTCCTGGATGGCAAAGTCAACCACTCCCCTCCTTTTGCTACAAAATGTCTACCTTTATATTTTCAACCCTCACAGTCAGTCCTAATAGCAATTATTCACTATTGTACCACAAAGAGTACTATCCCCATCTCCTTTCATCAGCCCCACCCAGACAGATTGAATACTTCTCAGTGAAGATTCTACCTTCCTCTGCACCCTCTGGATCTAGGTTCCCTCTTGAAAGCTTGCCAGTCACTTCTTGCCTTTGTAGCCCCCCATTTTTGGTAGCTAATGTCCAAGTTGCCCATCCCTGTCTACC